TACATGTATTTATATAAGATAGTTATATAATATATTTTTTATGTATTTATATATTTTGCATATATTTTTATATATTTTAATATATATTTATATTTGTTTATTTTTTGTATATTTATATACATTTTATATATATATAAAATTTCTCATATATATATGTGTGAGAGAGAGACTTTCCATAAAGCTCATCCTAATTTATTTTCCTACCGACATATTGACTCTGCATAATCTGCATTTTCTTCTGTGTGTACAAGGAAAACTTGGAATAATCATTCAATTCCTGTCCCATATGCGTTATAGAAAATGTGGAATTGTAATTAGAGACAATGGTCACAAACAATCTCACCTTTTATGATCACAATGATGAATAATTCAGTTGGTTGACTTCTAAATATCTTTGAGATATAATTCACATGCCATAAAACCATTTAAAGGATACAATTTAGTGGTTATTAAGATATTCAGAGTTGTGCAATTATCACAACAAAAAGTTTAGATTTTCATCACTCCTAGAAGAGATCCCTGTGCCCCTTAACGGTCACTCCCCTTTACCCCATCCACCACACCAGCTTTAAGCAACCATGAATCCACTTTCTGTTTCTATAGATTTGTCTATTCTGGACATTTCATATAAATGGAATTATAGAATTTATAGTCTTGTGACTAACTTATTTCACTTAGTGTAATGTCTCAGTGTTTCTCTATGTTGTCGCATGTGTCATCACTTCATTCCATTTTATTGCTGAGTATATTCCACTGTATGGTCCTACTACATTTTCGTTATTCACTAGCTGATAGACATTTGAGTTGTTTCTACTTTTTGGCTATTATGAATAATGCTACTGTAAATATTCACATGTAAGTTTTTGTGTTAATGTGTTTTTAATTCTCTTGAGCATACATCTAGAGGTGAAATTGCTAGGTCATATAGTTTAACTTCTTGAGGACTTGCCAGATTGTTTTTCCAAAGTGTCTGCATCATTTTACATTTGCACTAGCAATGAATAAGGGTTGCAATTTCTCCACACCCTCACCAATGTTTATTATTATCTTTTTTGCTGTACTTATTCTAGTGAGTATGAAGTGGAATCTCATTGTGGTTTTGACTTGCATTTCCCTAATGAAAACTGGTCAACTTTTAACAGGTGGAAGAAGAAGGAGACCTTCAAGGGAGATGTGTTTTAGAAAAGGGAAATATAATTATTTTACTACTTTTAGGCCTGGTGTGGTGGCTCAGGCCTGTAATCCCAGCACTTTGCGGGGCTGAGGTGGGCAGATCACTTGAGGCCAGAAGTTTGAGACTAGCCTGGCCAACATGGCGAAATCCCGTCTCTACTAAAAATACAAAAATTAGCCGGGTGTGGTGGTACACACCTGTAATCCCAGCTACTGGGTGGGGGCAGTGCTGAGGCACGAGAATCACTTGAACCTGGGAGGCGGCAGTTGCAGTGAGCTGAGATGAGGGCACTGCACTCCAGCCTGGGTGACAGTGAGACTCTGTCTCAAAAAAGAAACAAAAAATAACTCCACTTCTTTTAAATTAGCTGGGTGGGTGGTGCATGCCTGTAGTCCCCAGCTACTTGGGAATCTGAGGTGCGAGGATTGCTTGAGTCCAGGAAGTCAAGGCTGCAGTGAGCCATGACTGCACCGCTGTACTCCAGCTTGGGTGACAGAGTGAGAACCTGTCTCAAAAAAGTTAAACGAAAAAACTACTTTTACATCATATGTAACACCCACTGATTAATGACAAAGGTGACATGCAGTGGGTAAAGGATGCCTTTTCAGTAAGTTGTGCCAGGTAAATTGAATATCCATATGGAGAAAAAGAGTGGATCTTGATTCTTATGACATGCTGTATACAGAAATCAATTCCAGATGGGTGTAGCTCTAAATGCAAAAGTTAAAACCATAAAGCTCTTACAAGAAAATGTGAGAGAGACACATATCTTGTCATTGGCAAATATTTAAAAAATAGAAACCAAAAAGTGCTTGTCATAAGGGAAAAAATGGATAAGTAGGACTGCCTTAAAATTAGAAGATTTGGGCCGGGCGCAGTGGCTCACGCCTGTAATCCCAACACTTTGGGAGGCCAAGACGGGCGGATCGCAAGGTCAGGAGATCGAGACCATCCTGGCTAACACGGTGAAACCCCGTCTCTACTAAAAATACGAAAAATTAGCCGGGCGTGGTGGTGGACGCCTGTAGTCCCAGCTACTCGGGAGGCTGAGGTAGGAGAATGGCATGAACCTGGGAGGCGGAGCTTGCAGTGAGCTGAGATCATGCTACTGCACTCCAGCCTCCTCGACAGAGCAAGACACCATCCCAGAAAAAAATAAAATAAAAGATTCGGCTGTGCACAGTGGCTCACACCTGTAATCCCAGCATTTTGGGAGGCCGAGGTGGGTGGATCACCCGAGGTTAGGAGTTCAAGACCAGCCTAGCCAACGTAGTGAAACCTCGTCTCTACTAAAAATTAACTGGGCATAGTAGTGGGCGCCTGTAATCCCAGCTACTCAAGAGGCTGAGGTGGGAGAATCACTTGAACCCCAGAGGTGGAGGTTGCAGTGACCTGAGATCAGCTACTGCACTCCAGCCTGAGCAACAGAGTTAGACTCCATCTCAGAAAAAAAAAAAAAAAATTATCTTCAGATGGCCATTAGGAATGTGAAAAGACATTAATTTCATTAGTAATCAAGGAAATGAAAATTAAGTCTCAATGTAGTATAGTTGCATACCCACCAGGATAGCTAAAATGAAAAAGAGAAAATTACCAAGTGTTTGGAAAGATGTGGAACAAATGCACTTCTTATGCACTGCTGGTGGGAGTGCAAACTGTAAAAATCACATTGGAAAACTAGCAGTATTTACTGAAGTTGAACATATGCGTAACATGTAATCCAGCACTTTTTCTAAGTCTCTTAACATACAGAAATAGTAATACATTGGTACCAAAGACATGTTCTAGAAAGTTCAAAGCAAGAGTATTCATAATAGTTCCAAACTAGGCACAATCCAAAGTGTTTCAACAGTAGAATAAATAAATCTGGTATCATGCAGTGGAAATGCTACACAGTAATGAACATGGATTAGATTTGAACTTGGAAGAATGTAACAGTTGAGTGAAAGAAGCCAGTCGCAAAAGAGTGCGTATTGTATGAGTCCATTACATCAAATTTGTAAGTGGTAAAACTGCTTCGTGGTGTTAGAAATCAGGGTAAGGTGGCCGGGTGCGGTGGCTCACACCTATAATCCTAGCACTTTGGGAGGCCGAGGTGGGTGGATCACTTGAGGTCAGGAGTTCAAGACCAGCCTGACCAACATGGTGAGACCCTGTCTCTACTAAAAATGTAAAACTAGCCGACGTGGTGGCGCACACCTGTAGTCCCAGCTTCTTGGGAGACTGAGGCAGGAGAATAGCCTGGACCCAGGAGGTAAAGGTTGCAGTGAGCCAAGATTGCACCATTGCACTCCAGCCTGGGCAACAAGAGCAAAACTCTGTCTCAAAAAAAGAAAAAGAAATCAGGGTAAAGTTTACCCTTGTGGGGAAGGGAGAGGCTATAAGAGGGCTTCTAGAATTCTAATAAGGCTCTGTTTCTACTTCTGTTTCTTGAGCTGAGGGCCAGTTATGCAGGTATGCTCATTTGATAAAGTTCATTAAGCTACGTACTTAGGATTTGTATGCTTTTCAGTATGTATGTTATACAGTCATGTTACTTAATGGGGATGCGTTCTGAGCAATGTTAGGCAATTTTGTTATTGTGCAAACATCATAGAGCATATGTAACACAAACTTACATGATATGACCTACTGCACACCTAGGCTATATGGTGTAGCCTGTTGTTCCCAGACCACAAACCTGTATAGCATGCGACTGCATTGAATACTGTAGGCAACTGTAAGATTATGGTAAGTATTTGTGTATCTAAACATATAAAAGGTACAGTAAAAAATATGGTATTATGGTACCACTGTCATATGTGATCTGTCATTGAGCAAAATGTCATTATAAGGTATATGATTGTGGCCGGGCGCGGTGGCTCAAGCCTGTAATCCCAGCTCTTTGGGAGGCCGAGACGGGCGGATCACGAGGTCAGAAGATCGAGACCATCCTGGCTAACACAGTGAACCATCCGTTTTACTAAAAAAATACAAAAAACTAGCCGGGCCGAGGTGGCAGGCGCCGGATCCAGCTATTACCTCGGGAGGCCTGACGGCAGGTAGAATGGGTGTAAACCCCAGAGGCGGGAGCTTGCAGTGAGCTGAGATCGAGCCACTGCACTCCCAGCCTGGGTGGACAGAGCGAGACTACCCGTCTCAAAAAAAAAAAAAAAAAAGGTATGATGGATTGTATACCTAAGTTTACTTTTTCTTCCTTCTTTACCTTACACTTAATTGGAACTTTTTTCTTTCAAATAATTCATATTGCAAGACTTTGAAGATTATCCAAATCTGAAATTTTATATGACCCTTCATTCAGACAGTTCAGACTCTACAAGGTATCACTCCTACAATATTAATTTATTGATTTTTCTGGTTGGCGAGGTAATTTTTTTTGTCCTAATGTAGATTAGTCGAGAAGTCAGAGCAAATTAAATGTAGTATTTCTTTATTCATAAAAGGATGCTGTTAATAATTCCTTTCTTGATAAAGAAGATTCGGAAATCAAGAAGGCATTGATTCTCATAAAGGCAAAAAAGTACTAATGGAAAAAATCAATGGTAATTATGAACAATAAGAGAGTTTTCCAGAAAGTATGGATATAGTTCCAACGTGTCAAAAAATTCAGGTTTGAATAACTTCATTTTTAGCATTTGTTTTAGTATCTGAAGAAAAAGGTAGCTGAATTAACTAAGACAACTGGTAGGCCTTGGCATGGTTTTTTAATTCCTAGCTCTTCATTATCTGATGCTTATTCTTGATAAAACAGTTTAGTCACTCCTCACTGTGTGGTATCCTTTTGGAAGTGCTAATCAGGGGTGCAATATAAAGACCAGTCCTTGCTCTTCCCTTTCCAGAATACCAAATGAAAGCTAGCTACAGATGCTATATTTAGCAGCATTTAGCTAGACTGGCCTATTAAAATGAAAAAACTACAAGGCATAAATGCTTCGTAACTTCGGGGAATATGCGTGGTTTCTAAGTTTACCGCCCTGCCAATAAAGCTGAGAGACCTCAAGGCATGTTATTTCATTTTTCTTCTGTTCACAGTTTTCTCTTCTGTAAGAAGAGATATTGGGCTATAAAAATTTGACAAGTCATTTTTTGGGTTCTAAAATTTTAATGAAGGGCAGTCGTAGCTCGGTGGTTTAGGAATTTGGAGCCAAAATGCCTGAGTTCAAATCGGTGTATTCCGCCACTTAATAGCTGTATTATTATCTTTGTCAGGTTAGTTACTTGTGCCTTAGCTTCTCTTATGAAGGTGGGAATATTTAGTATCTATCTCATGATATTGTATAAGGATTAAATAAGATAAAGTTTGCTTTAGAGCAGTGCCTAGCATGTCAGTCACCAAAGGTTAATTATTAACTGCCATAGTTATGCCCATACCTCTGAATGACTAACTTCAGTGTCTTCATTTCTATTATTAAATTCAGCAAGTTTTTTTTTTTTTTTTTTTGAGACGGAGTCTCGGCTCTGTCGCCCAAGCTGGAGTGCCAGTGACTGGATCTCAGCTCACTGCAAGCTCCGCCTCCCGGGTTTACACCATCTTCTCTGGCCTCAGCCTCCCGAGTAGCTGGGACTACAGGTGCCCACCACCGCGCCCGGCTAGTTTTTTTTTTCTGTATTTTTTAGTAGAGACGGGGTTTCACCGTGTAGGTCAGGATGGTCTCGATCTCCTGACCTCGTGATCCACCCATCTCGGCCTCCCAAAGAGCTGGGATTACAGGCTTGAGCCACCGCGCCCGGCTGAACAAGTATATATTGAGGATGTGTATGGCAGGTAAGTTAAACAGTCCATGTGAGACGGGCACAGTGGCTCATGCCTGTTATTCCAGCAGTGTGGGAGACTGAGGCAGGAGGATCACTTGAGGCCAGGGCTACATAATGAGACTCTTGTCTCTACAAAAATTGTTTTACAAAATTAGTTGGGCATGATGGTGCATACTTGGAGTCCTAGTTATTTGGGAGGCTGAGGCAGAAGGGATCCCTTAAGCCCAGGAGTTCAAGGCCGCAGTAAGCTACTATCACGCCACTATACTCCAACCTGCATGACAGAGCGAGACCCTGTCTCAATAAATAAAATACATACATACATACATACATACATACATACCTACATACAAACAACCCATACCACCACCACCACCCCCCCCATGGTATCATAGAATTTAGTTGACTTTGGTGTGAAAGAGCCATAGATTCAAATACTGGCTCCACCAGTTATTACATGTGTGACCTTGGGTAATTTCTGTAAGTTGCTTTTTCCTCACTTATAAGATGGAGATAATAATATCTCCCTATGGAATACTGATAATGATGATTTATTACTCTCTTAAATGACAGTCCTGTGATAAAGACATCAGTAGGTTTTTAGCAACTCTTGTAACATTTCTCAAAATTTACAGAAAGCATAATGCCAAAACAACTCAGTGACTCAGAATCTCTTCAAAGGAACAAAAACTATGAAATCAAAATATGAAACTTCAGAGATTTAAACTCAAGGCTTTTAAAACCAAACAAAACAAACAAGAAAGTATATACCGGCCAGGCACTGTGGTTCATGCCTGTAATCCCAGCACTTTGGGAGGCCAAGGCGGGCAGATCACCTGAGGTCAGGAGTTCGAGACCATCCTGGCCAACATGGTGAGACCCTGTCTCTACTAAAAATACAAAAATTAGCTGGGTGTGGTGGTGTGTGCCTGTAATCCCAGCTACTCCTTAGGCTCATGTAGGAGAATTGTTTGAACCCAGGAGGCAAAGGTTGCAGTGAGCTGAGATTGCACCACCACACTCCAGCCTGGGTGACAGAGCAAGACTCCATCTCAGAAAAACAAAAGTATATAACCTATTAATGGTTGAGAAACTGTATATCTTTGAAATGCTCCCCTATTATTTTTCTCAACTAGGTGTTTCATATAGGTGTTCCAGACTAACTTAGGATAAAAACTTATCTTTATATAGCAGTCTTTGCTGTTTAGCTTGGGCATCTGGAAGTGATGAATCTAAAATAATATCATATTCTATGTTAAATATGGAACACAGTTGATTCCATACTGTCATGAAATTTTAAATTATAGTTTCAGGCCGGGTGCAGTGGCTCACGCCTGTAATCCCAACACTTTGGGAGGCTGAGGCGGGTGGATCACTTGAGCCCAGGAGTTCAAGACCAGCCTGGGCAACATGGCGAAACCCTATCTCTTCAAAAAGTACAAAAAATTATCTGGGCATGGTGGCACATGCCCGTAGTACCAGCTGCCTGGGAGGCTGAGGTAGGAGAATCACCTGAGCCCAGTGTTGTGTGTGCGACTAGCTGGGGCTAGTGTCACTGGTGGTAAAGGAATTTACCAAGACAGTGGTAAGTAGAGAAAGGCAGATTTATTAAAGTATGAAAATACATTGCAAGGTTGCAGTGGGCAGTACAGCAGAGAAGAGGCTGTCTGCAAAGAGGCAGAGGCTGAAGGGAAGTTTTATAGGGTCATGCTGGAGGCGGGCTAGGTACAGAGCAGGGTTGTTGTGACCAGGCGTGGTGGCTCACATGTGTAATCCCAGCACATTGGGAGGCCGAGATGGGCGGATCACTTGAGCTCAGGAGTTCTAGACCAGTCTGGGCAACATGGTGAAACCCTGTCTCTACCAAAAATACAAAAAATTAGCTGGGCATGGTGGTGCATGCCTGTAGTCCCAGCTTTGGAAGTTGAGACTGCAGTGAGCCGAGATTGCCACTGCACTCCAGCCTGGGGGACAAAGTGAGACCCTGACTCAAAAATTAAAAAAAAAAAAAAAAGTACCTGCAGGTTGTTTGTGATTAGCCTTTTCTCAGAACAATTGTTCATTGTTCTCCCCAACCTGGGTCCCTCCCCCATTGTTGCCTACATCCGGATCTGTGATAGTGCCACTGCACTCCAGCCTGGGCAACAGTCAAAGCTACAGAAAATATATTCTGATGCTCACTAAAGTATGAGAGAAAAAAAGAAGATATTAAGAAAAACTAGTAAATCACATTAAGGATATAAGAAAATTAGACTTTTATTTGTGAATATTAATTTTTCATCTTGTAACACTTTAACTTGCTTTCCTCCTCTAATGTATAATCACAATGGGATATGGGTGCACAAGAGATACATGTCGGAACTTTATTAAAGGGACAATTGAAATAGCATTTCGGCTGAGTGTGGTGGCTCATGCCTGAAATGCCATCATTCTGGGGGCCAAGGCAGGAGGATCATTTGAGCCCAGGAGTTTGACACCAGCCTGGGCAACATGATAAGACCCCATCTTCACAAAAAATTTAAAACTTAGCTGAGCATGATGGCACACCTACAGTCCCAGCTACCCCAGGGGCTGAGATGGGACGATCACTTGAGCCCAAGAGGTCAAGTCTGTAGTAAGCTGTGATCACACCTCTGTACTCCAGCCTGGGTGGCAGAGCGAGACCCTGTCTCAATAAATAATAAATAAATATGTTTAGACAATCGGAACTTTTGCTGATTTGGGAAATTTCAGATAAGTTGTTTTCTGTTGTTTTTGTAAACATGAAATTTTCTGTTTTGATGTTTGACCAGAATATTCTGATTTTTCCTCCTAGTACACGAGCAAGAAGCCATTAACTCTGACCCAGAGTTGTCTAATTGTGAAAATGTTCAGAAGCCTGATGTGCAAGATGATCTTTCTGATCCTCCTGTTGCAAGTAGTTGTATTTCTGAGAAGTCTCCACGTAGCCCACAACTTTCAGATTTTGGACTTGAGCGGTACATGGTATCCCAAGTTCCACCAAACCCTCCACAGGCAGTGAACAACTATAAGGAAGAGCTTGTAATTGTAACTCCACCTAGCAAGCCATCACTAGTAAAAGTACTAAAAACTCCAAAATGTGCACTAAAAATGGATGATTTTGAGTGTGTAACTCCTAAATTAGAACACTTTGGTATCTCTGAATATACTATGTGTTTAAATGAAGATTACACAATGGGACTTAAAAATGTGAGGAATAATAAACGGTAAGCAGCTCTGTTAAAAGGCAATTTTCTCTAGCTTTCTAAACCTTTTGTATTTATTGATTTTTTTTCCAGAAGAAATATAATGTTTCAGACAACATTTTTCCTTTAAAAAGTTTTCAGATATTTATTTATTTTATTTCAGTAGGTTTTAGGGGAACAGGTGGTGTTTGGTTACATCAATAAGTTCTTTAGTGGTAAGGTTTTCAGATACTTTATATTACAGATCTTCTCGAATCACCAATACTGTCAATAAAGTGTGAGCCATCGGTTTCTTCAGGTGAGAGACTATAGAAGAAGTGATAAGGGCCTGAAAAAAAGATGGTATTTGTAGGGATAGAAAAGAGGGAATAAAATTAAAGGGGTAAAATTTGTAAGAACTTGTGATTGATTTGCTCTGGAGACTTAGGGAAAGAGGATGATCTAGGATAAACCCCGAGTTTCTGTTTTCTTGCTTGGGATGATGTTAGAGAGAACAGGAGAAGAATACCTGGAGTACGAGGGGCAGGTGATGTGTTTACATGTTGATTTTGACATTGTTAGTGCCTCTTCATGCTTAGGCATTCTAATATCAGTTTAAAGCTCAGTGAAGAAGTCAGTGCTGAACTAGATTTGGGAGCCATTAGCATGGAAATGGTGATTAAAACCGCGAGAGTTACAATGAAAGTACCACTTATCAAAGTAGCCCAGCAGTGTCTAAAGATCAATACTTATCATTAAAAACTGTCACTATTAAAGAAAGAAAATAAACATTCATGTCAAAGAGTCAGAAAACCCCACAACTCTGGGGAAAAGAAGAAACACTAAAGATAACATAAAATTCTAATCCAAAAGATTTTTAAAAGAGTTGAATTGATAAACCTAAGAACTGGTCCTTATCTAAACATAAATACAAATAACAGAACTAAGAACTAAGGACTGTGTTGTGTGTTTTGTTTTCTTTTGTTTTGTTTTGTTTTTGAGATGGTCTTGTTCTGTCGCCCAGGCTGGAGTGCAATGGCTCAATCTCAGCTCACTGCAACCTCCACCACTGGGTTCAAGTGATTCTTGTGCCTCAGCCACCTAAGTAGCTGGAAGTGCAGGGGCACGCCACCACATTTGGCTAATTTTTGTATTTTTAGTAGAGACAGGGTTTCACCATGTTGGCTGGTCTTGAACTCCTGGCCTCAAGTGATCCACCTGCCTCGGCCTCCCAAAGTGCTGGGTTTACAGGTGTGAGCCACTGCCTGGCCTATGTTTTTATTTTTCTAAGCTATCAGAAAATATCATAGGGTATAGTATTGGGAAATTTGAAAATTTCAGATAAAGTTTTGGAAAATAATACAAAGTGATAAAAATTGACTTGAAGTAGAAAACCTGGGTAGAGCAGTAATCAGAGAAGAAAACTGAAAAAGTTATCAGATAACAGGACAGGCACAGTGGATCACTTGAGGTTAGGAGTTCAAGACCAGCCTGGCCAATAGGATGAAACCCTGTCTGTATTAAAAATACAAAAAAATAGCTGGGTTTGGTGGTGGGCACCTGTAATCCCAACTACTTGGAAGGCTGAAGCAGGAGAATTGTTTGAACCCAGGAGGTGGAGGTTGCAGTAAGCTGAGATCAAGCCACTGCACTCCAGCCTAGACAACAAGAGCAAAACTGTCTCCAAAAAAAAAAAAAGTTATCAGATAACAAGCTCCAAAAAGCTCTGAGCGTGGATGGTGTTCTGGATGAATCCTTTCTAATGTTATGTCGTGTCATGTCATGTCATGCTGTTGTCATTGTTTTGAGATAAGGTCTCGCTCTGTTCCCAGGCTGGGGTGCACTGGGGCAATCTCAGCTCACTGCAACCTCCACCTCCTGAGTTCGAGTGATTCTCGAGCCTCAGCCACCCGAGTAGCTGGGACTACAGGCATGAGCCACCACGCCTGGCTAATTTTTCTATTTTTAGTAGAGATGGGGTTTTGCCATGTTGCCCAGGCTGCTCTTGAACTCCTGGGCTCAAGTAATCCACCTGCCTCAGCTTCCCAGAGTGCTGGGATTATAGGTGTGAGCTACCACGCCCAGCCTAACATCATTCTTGATGCTCTGGCCAGTGTAATGAGATAGGAAATAAGAAATATTTCTGTGTTGCACTTCTAGGCCATTTTGTACCTAGGCAACTCAAGAAAATCACATGAAAAACTTACAGAAATAATAAAATTCAAGTAAGAGGCTGATAGAAGATATATATTTTATATAGTTACATAGGCAACTATTTCTTTTCTTTTCTTCTTTTCGACAGGTTCTTAGTCTGTCGCCCAGGTTGGAGTGCAGAGCCATCGCCATAGCTCACTGCAGCTTCGACTTCCTAGATTCAAGCAGTCCTCCTGCCTCAGCTTCCCAAGTAGTAGGTGGGGCGACAGGTGTGGACCACCAGGCCTGACTAATTTTTTTTTTTTTAACTTTCTGTAGGGTCTCACTATGTTGCCTAGGCTAGTCTCTTAAGTCCTGGCCTCAAGTGATCCTGAAGGTATTTTTGAAGTAAAGATGATTCAGTAAATTATACTGGAACAATTAGTTAACTGGAAAAAAAACAAGTCGTCTCTACCTCGAGTCAATATAAAATAAAGTTAGATCAAAAAGATAAATATTTAGATAAATTATTTAAAAAGTAAAAGAAAATATAGATAGATTAGCTGTTTAAACAGTGAAAGGGTATACTGCAACTATCAATATGTTTGTAATTGCAAGAAAGTGGTAATGATTCGACATCTTAACAATAATTGCTTGTTCTATTCAGAAATATGGAAGGGAACATGAGTCAGGCATGGTGATTCATGCCTTAGTCCCACCTGCTTGGGAGGCTGAGGTGGGAGAATCACATGAGCCTGGGAGTTTGAAACCAGACTGGGCAACATAGCTAGATCCCACCTCTAAAAGAATAAAAATAAAATAAATAGACTGGAACATGAAGCATATAAAGGATAAAAAATAAACCAAGAAAATAATTGCATTGAGGACTATGTTACACACATACTGACGAGAAACCACTAACACACCAAAAGCTACCTAGGCAATGGACAGGAACAGATATGACTAATAAATATTTTAAAAACAGTTTTGTCTATCAAAATAGTACAAAGCATGTTTGTTTTAACTGTTAGAAGAGTACAATGAAATGTGTGTTCATATATCATTGTCAAGAATGTTTCAATGGATAAGAGTTTGATTCTTTTTTTTTTTTTTTTTTTTTTTTTTTTTTTTGAGACGGAGTCTCGCTTCTGTCGCCCAGGCCTGGAGTGCCCCAGTGCCTCGGATCTCAGCTCACTGCAAGCTCCGCCTCCTCCTGTTTAACGCCATTTCACTCTGCCTCAGCCTCCGAGTAGGCCTGGACTACAGGCGCCGGCCACCTCACCCGTAGTTTTTTTTTTGTATTTTTTTAGTAGAGAAGGACGGGTTAGCCCGGATGGTCTCGATCTCTTGACCTCCGTGATCCAACCATCTCGGCCTCCCAAAGTGCTGGATTACAGGCTTGAGCCACCGCACCCGGCCGAAAGAGTTGATTCTTAAGTATTTAAAACCTTTTACCTAGTCATTTTACCTCTTAGGAAACTTGACAAACATTTTGGCACAGTAGTGTTATTACAGCCTTATTTTTAACGGGGAAAATGGAAAGAAACCAAAATATGTAACAGTAGGAAGTAAATTATGGCATGACAGCAAAGCTAGAAATCATAGTAAAGAATATGGATAGATTTGATCACATACAAAATTTAAACTACTGTATCATAAAATGTTTGACCAATGACAAAGCAGGAAAAGTTTTATAACATGATATAATATATGTGCATATATATGTTATGTAATTACATAACATGTTTTAAAAACCCATATGCAGTAATTGGTGAAAGACATCCCATTTTTAAAACGAGCAAAGACATGAATTAACCAAAGAAGAGGCTGGGCGCAGTGGCTCACGCCTGTAATCCCATCACTTTGGGAGGCCGAAGTGGGTGGATCACTTGAGGTCAGGAGTTTGAGACCAGACTGGCCAACATGGTGAAACCCTGGCTCTACTAAAAATATACAAATTAGATGGGCATCTGCAGTCCCAACTACTCAGTCGACTGAGGCAGGAGAATCACTTGAACCCTGGAGGCAGAGGCTGTAGTGATCCGAGATCGTGCCACTGCACTCCAGTCTGGATGACAGAGTGAGACTCCATCTCAAGATAAAAAAAAAAAAACCCAGAAGAAATACAATTGACCAATAAGCATATAAACACTTTTAGCGTTGCAGGTAATGAAGGAAATTCAAATACAAAAATAAGATGTCATTTTTCAACTATCCAGATGCACGTTTTTATTTCCAAGTTTTAACTAGGTTTGTTAATGTTAAGAGAGAGAATACCAAAAAAGACAGGTTATATTCAGTGTTGATAAAGACATAAGAAAATGCTTCTATAATGCTGGTGGCCATTGGTGAATCAATCTTAGGGAAAGTTGCCAGTGTATATAAAAGCCTCTATGAAATTTTACTTAAATGAACACATTCAAGGAAAATAACGTGTGCAATTATATAGATATAAAACACTATTATTTCATTTATAGTTCAAAAGCACAAAAATTATATTTAGAGTACACAAATAAGTAGTTAAAGTACCGGCCGGGCGCGGTGGCTCAAGCCTGTAATCCCAGCACTTTGGGAGGCCGAGGCGGGTGGATCACGAGGTCAGGAGATCGAGACCATCCTGGCTAACATGGTGAAACCCCGTCTCTACTAAAAATACAAAAAACTAGCCGGGCGAGGTGGCGGGCGCCTGTAGTCCCAGCTATTCGGAGGCTGAGGCAGGAGAATGGCGTGAACCTGGGAGGCGGAGCTTGCAGTGAGCCGAGATCGCGCCACTGCACTCCAGCCTGGGTGACACAGCGCGAGACTCCGTCTCAAAAAAAAAAAAAAAAAAGTAGTTAAAGTACCAAGCAAATCTAGATAGAAATTTACCTCTGTAGGGCAGAGATGGGTACCAAGTTGGGAAGCTTCCACAGAAGACTACACAGGTACTAGTAGTAGTTTTTCTTTCTCTCTTTCTTTCTTTTATTTTTAGAGACAGGGTCTCACTGTCCTATTTTGGTTCTTTCCAATTTTCCCCTATTATAAATAAGCTGTAATAAATACTACTGTGCCAAAATATTTGTTGGGTTTTCCTAGAGGTAAAATGACTGGGTAAAAGGTTTTAGACATTTGAAAACCACTTCTTTCCATGAAACATTCACAACACCCAGGCTAGAGTGCAGTGGCAGGATGGTGGCTCACCGCAACCATGAACTGGGTTCAAGTGGTTCTTCCACCTCGGCCTCCTTTGTAGCTGAGGTTACAGTTATGTGCTGCAACTCCCAGCTAATTTTAATATTTTTTATTTTTTGTAGAGATGGGGTCTTGCTATGCTGCACAGCCTGGTCTCCAACTCCTAGCCTGAAGAGATCCTCCCACTTTGGCCCCACAACATGCATAAGCCACTATGCCCAGCCTTTTATTTTTAGAGATTTTATACAACATATATTCTTTTGCCATACTGTATATACACTTTAAAAAAATGTTTACACAATGACCAGGCATGGTGGCTCACACCTGTAATCCACACCTGTAATCCCAGCACTTTGGGAGGTCAAGGTGGGTGGATCACCTGAGGTCAGGAGTTTGAGACCAGCCTGGCCAACATGGTGAAACCCTGTCTCTACCAAAAAAATACAAAAACATTAGCCAGGCACAGTGGTATGCGCCTATAGTCCCAGCTACTGGGGAGGCTTAGGTAGGAGAATCATTTGAAACCGGGAGGTGGAGGTTGCAATGAGCCGAGATTGCACCACTGCACTTCGGCCTGGGAGTAGATCGAGACCCTGTCTCAGAAAAAAAAGAAAATGTTTGCACAAGATGTTAAAGAAAGCATGGGTCATTATGTTTAAATTCAAAACTGGAAACTTATGAGTGAAAATCAATCCTGAACTATCTTGTATTCAGTGATATTCTCTTTATAACTATTTTACAGACATCTGTGTAATTGTCTAGGACAATGATAATCAGATGACAGGATCAGTCATTTTAGTCTTAAAAAAAATGGCAAGTTTTTAATCTATATATGTATACCAGTTATAAAATTCCACTTTAGGATTTTGAAGCCCCATGAGCTACATAGTTCCTTTTTTGAACTAATAAGTTGAAGTTAATGGTCCTTAACCATTTTATACCATGGATATATATGAATTTGCTTCATGGGACTTCTATACCATAAAGCATAACTGAATATTTGTCCAAACTTGATATTTAGTAAGGTTAAATTTTTTCCCAGAGATTGGATGTTAACTTTTTTAACCTTGTAATTTCCCTATGAATCACACCAGTGAGGAGGCCACAGATACAGAATCCAGGCCCAATGATAATGTTTTTGCCACTCCCGGCTCCACTATCCAGCAGCTGGAAAAAAGTGGTAAGTATAAGAATCAAGTTACCTCTCAGGAACATTTTTCCCAAACTATCTTTGAACAAAATTGATTTCATCATCTTAGACATTCTAATAGTTTTCTTCATCTGTTTAATTCCTAATGTTGGATTACATTAACTACCATTTCATTCAGCATGCTTTTGTCCAAGAGAAAGAAAATTTTCTGGTATGTTTCTAATACTATTGATTATATCCAGTATTTGTCAGCTTGTTTTTAACATTTTGATTTGAAACATATATATTTATTTACCAATCTTTTGATGTAGAGCCATGGTACTTTTTCTTTTAACCTATTGATTAGAGTTGTACATTATCTTTCTTATATAAACCACGCACAGAATACCTCAGCTGTCATTTTAAATTTTGGTTTCTTTTGAATAGCTCAGCAACTTAAAGAAAATTTTCATACATTGTTTTCATATTTGTCCCAGCAAACATGAAAACATTGGTGTTCATGAAAAAGCAAGATTAAAAAATCCTAGAGTTTTGTGATTTTTTTGTTTTGTTTTCTTTGAGACAGGGTCTTACTCTGTTGCCCAGGCTGGAGTGTAGTGGCATGATCTTGGCTCACTGCAGCCTCAGCTTCTCAGGCTCAAGCAATCCTCTCAAGTAGCTGGGACTACAGGCACACACCACAACGTCCAGCTAATTTTTGTATTTTTTGTATAGATGGGGATTTGCCATGTTGCCCAGGCTGGTCACAGTTGTAGACTACTCATTGCAACCTCTGCCTCTTGGACTCAACCAATCCTCCCACCTCAGCCCCCAACGTAGCAGGGACTATAGGCATACACCACCATGCCCAGCTAATTTTTGTATTTTTTTGGTAGAGGGGTTTCACCATGTTACCCAGGCTGGTCTCCAACTCCTGGACTCAAGTGATCCGCCCACCTTGACCTCCCAAAGCACTTCATCCTTTTTAATTGGTAAATAGTATTCTACTGTATATATGAGCCATATTCATTTGCTGATTAAGAGGTAATGTTTTTATTTTTTATTATTATAGGCAGTGCCCTAAGGAAATTTTCTGTAGTGCATATGTGTATTTCTCATCTAGGAGTAGAATTTCCAGGTCAAAGGGCATGCATATTTTTACTTATTCTAGAAAATGCTGAATAGTCAGCTAAGAGTGGCTGTTAAGATTTATCTTCTCACTAGTGGTGTTGAGTTCCTGTTTCTCATCTTTTCCAGCACTTGATGATTTTTAGACTTAAAATATTTTGCCAGTTAGATTGTTTTTCTAACATTTACCTTTTCTCTTTGTTGTTTTTTAAGGTTGCCTCGATGATACTATGTGTCCTAGATAGCAATTGTCTGTATATGCATGGGTCTCTCTTGTTCTTATCTTTAATTTTTCCATCCCTGGTTAATGTTACACTGTTTTTAACTATTGTACCTTCGGAGTAAGTCCTGCCATCTTGGAAGGCAAGTGACCTGTTCTCCCTCTTCCTCCTCCTTTGTCAGAAGTTTGATAATTTTCTCCATAAAGGTTTTACACCATTTTTAATAGATATATTTGTAGGTATCTTGTCTTTGTTGCTACTGTGAAAAGTATCTTTTTTCAAATTATATGTGTAATAGTTTGTTGCTTTTATGTTTAGTATACATTACAACTGTTTGTTATTGTGTATTGCTCTTGCATCCTTGCTGAATTTTATTAGTGCTAATGGTAATTACATATGTGAATATGAGATTTCTTTTCCTGTCCAGTTAAGTATACTATAGTTACAATTTTCTGTGACCATTTTATGTGTCTTTCAGATGCCGAGTATACCAATTCTCCTTTGGTACCTACATTCTGTACTCCTGGTTTGAAAATTCCATCTACAAAGAACAGCATAGCTTTGGTAACTTTCCGTAAAATTGAATGCCACAATCTTTCTCCTAAAGACTCAGATACACTACTGCTTGCAGACTCAAAGAGGCTATTTAGAAGACATGGATGAATCCAGCTTTTAGGAGTGTATTTACAGTGCATTTCTGGAGGGTAGCTTGGCAGCATAAGTCAATTGCTCTGAAAAGTATTTTTCTTTTTTTTTCTTTTGTTTTTGTTTCTGAGACCGGGTCTCACTCTGTCACCCAAGCTGGAGTGCATTGGCGAAATCTCAGCTCACTGCAGCCTCCGCCTCCCGGGTTCAAGCGATTCTAGCTTGTCTAGAATCAAGCTGTCTTGCCCTCCCGAGTAGCTGGGACTACAGGCGCCTGCCACCACACCCGGCTGGTTTTTTTTATTTTTAGTAGAGATGGGGTTTCACCTTGTTAGCCAGGATGGTCTTGATCTACTGACCTTGTGATCCGCCCGCCTGGGCCTCCCAAAGTGCTGGGATTACAGGCGTGAGCCACCACGCCCGGCTAAAAAATATTTTTCATACCCTTAAACCATATCTCAGAATTTTTTCTAAGGCAAAGTGGAACAAAGATTTAAAACAAGTTATAGAGTAAGAAATAGCATTATTTGTAAACACAAAACATGGGAAACGGTATAAATATCGAATGATATCGAAGAACTAAAACACAGCAAGGCATATCCATAAGATCAGTTATTATGTATACTATCATGTGTTTTTCAAAACAGATGAGAGCATATAAAAAGAATATTTTCAAGAAATATTAATCATATGGAAAATTATGTGTGTCTACGTACACACACACATGCATATGTACACACATATGTTTTAAGGAAAAAGAGTGGATAGAAACAGCAAAGTGTAGTTATCTCTGGGTGATAAAATTATGGGTGATTTTGTGCTTTTTTTCCCCTAAATTTTACTAGTGAATAATCAGATTTCATCAAATCAAAACCTTATCTCTCTTCAGTCAGTATGGTCACTTAACCAATGCTACAGAAAACCAATACTGTGTTAGGGCATCCAATAGAATTTTCTGTAATGATGGAAATGTTTTCTAATCTGCACTGTCCAGTATGGTAGCCACTAATCACGTTATTGAGCACTGAAAATGTGGCTAGTATATCGGAAGAATATTTAATTCTTTAATTTTTATTTAATTTTGATTAACTTAAAATTTAAAGAGTCCCATGTGGCTATGGCTACTATATTGTACAGTGCAGCTGTGGATGAACATAGGGCTGTGTTAGCAATTGAGGTATCAGGTTATCTGCCTGTTAGTACCTGCCATTTACAATTAATCTACTCCTTATGTTCACATGGAAGGTACCCTACTGAGGTGACCCTCTCTCTCTGTTAACTCTGACCTGAGAGAGATGGAGCGACTTACCCAACTGGCTGGTTTAGCATGAATAGTCTGCATACTAAACTTACCTCTGATCTGCTTTTTTCCTCTTGGGAGGGCATGTGGTAACACTTGTTCATTCATGCTGTGATTTTCCTCTGACTACACTCACTGTTGCCTAAGATGGGGTGGGTGTATCCATCTAAATCTTTGGTTCATTCTATTTAGTTATGACACTAAGCTTTTTTTTTTTTTTTTTTTGGTGAGATGGAGTCTCACCCTGTCACCCAGGCTGGAGTGCAGTGGCGCAATTTTGGCTCACTGCAACCTCTGCCTCCTGGGTTGAAGCAATTCTCCTACCTCAGTCTCCTGAGTAGCTGGGATTACAGGCACGCACCACCACACCTGGCTAATTTTTTATATTTTTAGTAGAGACGGGGTTTCACCGTGTTGGCGAGGCTGGTCTCAAACTCCTGACCTCATGATCCGCACACCTCGGCCTCCCAAAGTGCTGGGATTACAGGCGTGAGCCACCGCACCTTGCTGACATTAAGCTTTAACTCAGCCTTTATTGGTAATGAAGGTGATATTTTGTCGTCTGTATGCCATTTGTTCTTGATTTTGTTTAGAACTTGGTCAGAGAAGATGGGGCATATGGGGGCCTACTTAGAGACCCCAACAGAACTAACAAATGATTAACCATTTTTGATTACTACATTATGTTATATTACCATAATTTAATGGTTTATTTTTATTCAATAGGTATCTACAAATTACCCATTATCAAAAATAAATAGTTCACCCAATGATTTGGAAGTTAAAGATCATGCTTCGTTGGTTTTAAATTCAGACACATGCTTTGAGAATTTAACAGATCCCTCTTCACCTACGATTTCTTCTTATGAGAATCTGCTCAGAACACCTACGCCTCCAGAAGTAACTAAAATTCCAGAAGATATTCTCCAGGTTATTTTTCCAGGCTATTTTTTTTTCTGATATTCTTTTCAAAATGAAATACTTAAAGACCTGAAACTGCATGTAAACTGACTTATTTATCATTGAGCTAATGTGCTAATTTTGGTGATGAGAAAATCTAAGTTCTAGGCTGTCAGGACCTTATTTTCTAGTACTTGTTCAACTGTGGTTTCCATGTCGATCATGGTTCCATTAGAAGTGTTGCTGGCAAAGTCAGAAAAGTCATTTACCCTGCAATTTCCCAGAACCAGGGTATCATGAATAACATGTCAGTGCTTTTTGAACTTGAGACTTGTTGGACCTCAGTTTAGGAAACACTGATTGATGTATATTAGAATACAGTTATGTGCTGCATAACATTTTGGTCAATAACAGACCGCGTATGCTGCAGCAATGATAATATGATACTGTATTTTTACTGTACATTTTCTATGTTTAGATACACAAGTACTTATCACTGTGTAGCAAGTGCCTGCACTATTCAGACAGTTACATGCTGTAGAGGTTTGTAGCCTAGGAGCAATAGGCTGTACCATATAGCCTGGGTGTGCAGTAGGGTATACTATCTAGGCTTGTGTAAGTACTGTGATGTTCACACACGATGAAATCACCTCATGATGCATTTGTCAGAATGTATCCCTATCGTTAAGTGATGCCTGATTGTATCCAATTCTTTAGTATTTAACAGCAGTTACCATTAGTCTACTAATGACTTATAACAACTGCCAATTCTAAATAACCAGTCTGATTCTTTGACAGTCCCCCTCCTTAATAGAAGTTACAGTGTTTGGCAGTTATTACTTACACGTATGGAATTCTTAATAACCATTCTAGAAATCTTCCTGACTTACGGAGACCCATGAGAAGGATAAATCACTTAGGAAAATACTCAGATGCCTTTAGAACTGACTCATGCTGGGATATCAATAAAGTGCTTGTTATCCTTTTTTCTCTCTTCTGCTTTTCTGGAAGAAATAATAAATTGCATGAAGAAGGAGCATCTTCTGTCTTTATGAAAATTATATAGTTTCCACTTCCCAACAGTTGCTTCATCTCTCCTTATTTCTATGTAAAAGGAAGGAAAGCTTATATTTAATATATCATCTCTTTATGCATGAAAAAATTCTAGCTAATATTTCATGTTCTCCTGTCATAATTTTTTGTAATTGGTGACCTTCCTTTGAGCATTCATTTTACATCTTTCCTTTGTGTATTTTAACATCTTTGTTAAGGCTTAATTTGCTCTCGGGGATATATTGCTACTTGTTTTCACTAACCTCAGTCAGAATACATTTTAGGCTTTAAAAATCAGTCCTTCACATCCAAGTTACATTTCTAATATCCCCATCTTTTCATTGCTGTTAGCATGTCTTTTTTTTTTTTTAGAACGAGTCTTGCTCTGTCTCCCAGGCTGGAGTGCAGTGGCATGATCTCAGCTCACTGCAACCTCCGCCTCCAGGGTTGAAGTGATTCTCCTGCCTCAGCCTCCCGAGTAGCTGGGGTTACAGGTGTGTGCCACCACTCCCGGCTAATTTTTGTATTTTTAGTAGAGACAGGGTTTCACCTGTTGTCCAGGCTGGTCTCAAACTCCTGACCTCAAGTGATCCACCTGCCTTGGCCTCCCAAAGTGCTAGGACTACAGGTGTGAGCCACCACACCCAGCCCATAGCTTGTATTGAACATTTTATAACTTCTTCCAAATTTAGGTTATGTTGTTCATATGGCTCAATAAAAAGGAATTTGCTTTTTTTTTTTTTAGCTTTTATCAAAATACAACACAAACCTAGCTACTCCAGTAGCAATTAAAGCAGTGCCACCCAGTAAAAGGTTCCTTAAACATGGACAGAACATCCGAGATGTCAGCAACAAAGAAAACTGGTGAGTATGTTACCTTTGCAAAGAAAGTTCGTGTGTTATTTGAGGAGGACATTTAAAAATTAACATTTCAACATTCCTGGCCAACATGAGTGAAACTTTGTCCTCCATACTAAAAATTACAAAAAATTACCAGGTGGTCGGTGGATTGCTCACCTGTAGTCCCAGCTACTCGGGAGGACTGAGGCAGGAAGAAATCGCTTGAATTCTGGATGAGGCAGAGGGATTGGCAAGTTGAGCGGAGATGGCTCTCCACTTCACTCTCGGCCTGGCCAACAGAGCGAGACTCGTCTCAAAAAAAAAAAAGGAAAAAAAACATTTAAATTTAGTAAAAGACTTTTGTTTTCAATTGACATTTGCCAGCCTAATAGCTCTGTCCTCTATCTTTGATTACAGGGACTTTGATCCCGAATCTTCGATTCCCAAATTATCCGAGTTTAAATGATAATCAGGTGGGGAATCTATCCTTCAATGTTTTTTTTTTTTTTTTTTTTTTTGGGAGAAACGTGAGTCTCGCTCTTGTCGCCCAGGCTGGAGTGCAGTGGCCAGATCTCAGCTCACTTGGCAAGCCCTCCGCCTCCCGGGTTCCACGCCCATTCTCGGCTGCCTCAGACCTCCCAAGTAGCTGGGACTACAGACGCCCGCCAACCTCGCCCGGCTAGTTTTTTGTATTCTTTATGTAAAAATAGTAGGAGATGGGGTTTCACCGTGTTAGCCAGGATGGTCTCGATCTCCTGACCTGGTGATCCGCCCGTCTCGGCCTCCCAAAGTGCTGGGATTACAGGCTTGAGCCACCGCACCCGGCCTATCCTCAATTATTTTATAAGTGTAAAATATATAGCCACAGTATTGTGTCATTTGTCTTAATGGCTTTTAATTATATTAAATTGATATTTTTTATTTGTATCTGTTGCAGAATTTCTAGTGAATCTATCCATTACAAGAAACTGAACAGAATGAAATTAAAGCAGAGCTGGACCGATTTTATCATTCACATTCCCCTGCCTCTTTCCCCTTTTTAAACATTGACCCATTTTAAAGAGGAACATGAACATTAACATCATAATACGCTTTTTATGAAGTTTCGATAAAGTTTAACGTTAGTCTTGTTGACATGTAGTCCAGTCATTCACTCTTTAAGGATTATTAGTGTTTCAGTGATACTAAATTACCCGGCTTAATCAACAGAATGGTTTAAGTAGTACCAGGAAGTAGGACAAGTAATTTTAAAAATATAAAGGTGTTTGCTACTCAGATGAGGCTGCCCCTGACCTGGCCAGGGAGACATTGCTGCCAGCCAGCTCTGCCTTCCCATCATCTCCTTTCAGGACCGTCCCACACCTTTTACTTCCTCAGTGCTGCCTGAAGATGCAGTTGCTGTTGTTTGCAAACAACAGGAACACCAGTTAAACTAATTAGGAAAAAAGGGAGATTTCCAGGCCTGGGTAACTATATACTGTGACCACTGGAGGTGGAGACAGGTCTCGACAGTTGGAACCAGGAACTCTGCTGTCAGGTTGTGAGTTTGTTTCTCTTTTCTCCCAGCTTTTCACTGTGTGGGGTCTTTTCTCTCACGTCAGCTCTTTCTATCACATGGCAGCTGACCTGTCACGCTCCACTCTCGAGCTTGGACACCCAGTAGACCCCGAACCTCACTCTCTAAAAGGTTCTGAGGGCTCGTCCTAGGCCAGGGGCCTTCCTGTGCGCTGTTAGCTATGGCCACGGGAGCCTCTAGAGCTGCCTGGTAGCTTCAGTCTGACCTGCTTATCAAGCCTACGATCCTTCTGATTTAATTACAACTGGAAAGTATTATCTAATTAAGTTCATGATAGTGCTTTTGGAGAACTTGTCAAATTACAGCCAATGAGAAAATAAGGACCTAACGTACTGTGGAGAACCATTAAAAATTTGAGAAGAAACAATTAAGTATTATGTCAATGTGCTTCAAAGGCTTAGTTTTGGGAATTTGATGCAGTAAAGATTACCCTGTTTTATGATGGTTCCTTGAAAGTCAAATGGGGGACCTGTCCATTGTGCTCTATTAATCTTGTCAGAAAACTGTCACCAAAACAAAACTTGATTTTGCCCTTGTTCTAGAAGTTACTGGGTAGTTGTAAGTATAATTTTTGTTAAATATAATGTAAAATAAAATTTTAAGATACTTAGTTTTGTTTTTCAAAATAAAGCTCTAGTCAGCTTTATGTATGCCATTGACTCTGAAATGTATACCAGCCTTTTACTGTGTACCGTGTGTATATGAATCCACAGAACCGGATGAGCTGCTTAGGGAGGGAATATATTCAAAGTATACCAAGGACCAAATCCTAGAGTTCTCCCAACTTTAGAGGATGGAAAGGGGCAAAGTCATCTAGCAAAGGAGAGTGAGAGGAGGCCAGTGAAGTAGGAAGAAAGTATTTCAAGGAGAGTGACGATTCTGTCAGTATTGCTGAGAATTCAAGTAAAAAGAGGACTGAGAATTGACTGTTGGGTTTGGCAAAGTTGATGTTGACAACACTGATTAATTTTTATGGAGTGCTGGTACTAGAAGTCTATAGTGAATGGAAGAGAAAACAGCTGAGGAGGTAAAACAGTGGCTTCAGACAGCTCTTTTGAGGAGTTTTGCTAAAGAAGGGAGGCAAGAGAACGGGCAGTAGCTAGAAGAGGTTATGTAGTGAAGAGGTTTTTTAAAGACGAGTGTATTAGTCTGTTCTCACACTGCTAATAAAGACACCCAAGACTGGGTAATTTATAAAGGAAAGGTTTAATGGACTCACAGTTCCACATGGCTGGGGAGGCCTCACAATCATGGCAGAAGGCGAAGTGGGAAGCGAGACACGTCTTACATGGTGGCAGGCAAGAGGGCATGTGCAGGGGAACCCCCCTTTATAAAACCATCAGATCTTGGGAGACATACTCACTATCATGAGAACAGCATAGGAAAGACCCACACCCATGATTCAGTGACCTCCCACTGCATCCTTCCCACGACTTGTGGGAATTCTGGGAACTACAATTCAGGTGACATTTGGGTGAGGACACAGTCAAACCACATCAGTGGGCAATAAAGACTGTTAAGCATTTCTGATTGTCTGCAAGGGAGCACCACTTGTTTAGTGGTGGCCCCTCAGTTTGTCCAAATCATATTTCCCTAACCCTTACCACCTCCCTCCTATGACCCTAGTTTCTGTTTCTTAGAACTGATGCTTCCAGCTTGTCAAGCTTCAGACATTGGGATCTTTCAAGTGTGTCTTCCCACTGCTCTTAAAATGAAATCCAAGATCTTAATTTTGGCTTACATGGCCCTATGTGATTTGACCGCAGCTTGCTTCTCCCTCCTGCCCCTTGTGCTCCAGCCACACCACCCTCTTCCACTCCTCCGTTCTTCCTGCCCCCGGGCCTCACACAGGCTGCTCTCATCCTGGAATACTTTTTCCCAACCATTCTGCTAACACTCCCTCATCCTTAATTGGTGGATACTTGATGTTTTTGTCTGCCCCGCACTACTGCCCTTAAGAACTTACAGGCCAGCTCCAGGCTCAACCAAGCAGCATCACAACTTCTGACCACACCGGTCAAGTCAGGTCAATGAAAGCCCATTCTGGGACTGGGGAAGTACTGGGAAAGAGCAGCACACTTCTGGAGATGCAGAGGTACAGCTGGAGCTGCGAAGGGAGGGCCGGCCTGAGTGGAGGAGCCCTTGCCACAGAGTTGAGGTGGTGGTGGAGCTCAAGGATCAGCTGGGCCTGAAGTAAGCTAGCTCCACCCTGGACTTTTCTGTTGATGCATAAACTCCTTGCCCTTGAGCTAGCTGGAGTTTTGTGTTACTTCAGACTTTGAGCCCTGGCTAATATGCTCTCCGATTAAGTATCATTTTATCAAAGACTTTACCTATCTTCCTGGTTTAAAAGAGATCTTCCCCCTTAGTTCTTTCTCAGCACCTTATTCTCGTCTTTCATAGTATTTGGTAGAATTTAATAAATTCGATTTAATAAAATATTTGGGTATACATTTATTTAATATTTGTTTCCCCCACTGGACCACAAAAGCTCAGTGAGGGCAAGGACCTTGTTTGCTTACTTTGTCCATTACCCAGGCACCTAGGTTTAAAAGGTTTATTGTGTGAATTAGTGATTACATTAAAGAGTTGAGATCTTACAATGCCAGGCATGGTTCTAAATGCTATACATTTATTAATGTGTGTAGTTAACTCTTTGAGGTAGGTACCCAGTTTTTCAAATGAGGAAATTGAGGCTTTAATGATTAACTTTCCATGTCCGATTTCCCATCCCAGGTCTTGTTGGTTGCCAAGCCCTACAGAGGGTCTTTTAACATCTTTCTACCACTACCCTGATTCTCACCTAGATTATTACAATTCTTTAGAATTATCTGGAACCCCTGCCAAAGGTAAGTGCTTTACTGATTGTGAGTTCATCATTTCCTCTTGTTCGTGCTGTGCCCACTCCACTTGAAGGAGCTGAACAAGCTTAAATGCCATCTGTAGAAAACCTGCCATTATCCTACCACAGTTTCAGTAGCAATTCTTTCTTGTGACATTTTTCTGTCCACCTTTTATCAATATTTGCACCTTTTCCTCCTTACTAGATTGTAAGATTTTGAGGAAGGATCCGTATCTGTGTCAAATCTTGGTATTGCCAGGTTCACAGCATCTGGTGCATAAAATAGGCACTCATCTAAAATTTTCAAGGATTTTTGAATATCCCTCAGGAGGTTCACTTCATTCTTTTTTTTTTTTTTAACGTCTCCCTCTGTCGCCCAGGCTGGAGTGCAGTAGTGAGATCTTGGCTCACTGCGACCTCTGCCTCCCAGGTTCAAGCGATTCTCCTGCATCAGCCTCCCAAGTAGCTAGGATTACAGGCGCCTGCTATCACATCTGGCTAGTTTTTGTATTTTTAGTAGAGACTAGGTTTCACCATGTTGATCAGGCTGGTCTCGAACTCCTGACCTCGTGATCTGCCCACCTCAGCCTCCCAAAGTGCGGGGATTACAGGCGAGAGCCACCATGCCTGGCCCGCTTCATTCTTAAATTGCTCAATTTCATCAAATATCAAATTCCATTAATTTTTTTATTTTTAGAGACAGAGTCTTGTTCTGTTGCCCAGGCTGGAGTGCATTGGTGCTAGCTTGGCTCACTGCAAGCTCCGCCTCCCGCGTTCACCCGCCATTCTCCTGCCTCAGCCTCCCAAGTAGCTGGAACTACAGGCGCCTGCCACCACGCCTGGCTAATTTTTGTATTTTTAGTAGAGACAGGGTTTTGCTGTGTTGCCCAGGCTGGTTTTGAACTCCTGACCTCAGGTCATCTGCCCACCTCGGCCTCCCAAAGTGCTGAGATTACAGGTGTGAGCTACTGTACCTGGCCAAATTCTGGTTAAATTTTCTTGTGAGTTGGTTGTAACTGAGTTGACATAGTACCATGGGTAGAGCAAGAAATTCTAAACAGCTGAAGGCGCAAATTGAAGAGGCTAGAAATACCTTTTTCCTCTTTTTAAAATAGCTTACCTTTACTAAATATTCACTGCCCCCCAGGCTCTCCCCTAGTTTCACTGACTCCTCCCAAGTTTTATGAGGTAGGGATATCATTACACCTTCCTATAATAAAGTCTGCATTAACATTCCCAGGCTAAGGACTTTTGCTTATTACAAGTACTTTTTAGTATTAAAATTACTTTTGGCCGGGCGCGGTGGCTCACGCCTGTAATCCCAGCACTTTGGGAGGCCGAGGCGGGCGGATCACAAGGTCAGGAGATCGAGACCACAGTGAAACCCCGTCTCTACTAAAAATACAAAAAAATTAGCCGGGCGCGGTGGTGGGCGCCTGTAGTCCCAGCTACTCGGGAGGCTGAGGCAGGAGAATGGCGTGAACCCGGGAGGCGGAGCTTGCAGTGAGCCGAGATCGCGCCACTGCACTCCAGCCTGGGCGACAGCGCGAGACTCCGTCTCAAAAGAAAATTACTTTTATGTTTAGCTTATTTCCCCTAAGGATGTCTTACGGGGGAGAATCCATGATTTTGTCTTCACAGAATAGTTGCCTAGCCATGATTAATCCTTTCTAACACAATAAACATAACTTCCTTCAAGCTTGTGCCTTGCAGACTCCAGGAAATCAGTTATTTGCAAAAGCAACCTATATTTAAGTAATAGAAGACAAACCAGAACAGGCAGACATCTGGCTGCTCTTAACACATTCAAAGTGGAAACTATGACCATGTCATTTTTTTTTTAAGAGGCATTTTGAGTTTGTATAAAAACTGAGTAGAAGAGGTCTACTTTAGATAACTAGGCAAAACTTGCTAATTGTAGGGGATAACATCACTGCAATAATAGTATGTCAGTGTAGTGCGGGTGGATGCCAGACTATAAGAAACTGAATATGAAAGAACATTATTTCTGGAAATGTTTCAACTAGTCCTCTATTTTTGGCTACCTAGGTCCAATGACCCATTTTTGAGCTGTTAAAGTAGCCCCTCCATCTGGGCCTCATTGTCACCTATAAATGGCCACTATAGTCACTGTATCTCAGTTGTGGTTACATGAGATAATGCTGGTAAAGTTGTTCCTCAGCACAATATCAGTGTTCCTTACTTATGGGGTCATGTCTGGATAAACTCATCATGAGTTGAAAATATCCTGTCAGAAGTGCCCTTTCTACTTAAAATGTGTTCAGTTCACATTGGGTTTATCGGGATGTAGCCCCATAATAAGCTGAGGACCGTAGTGAATGGCTTATCACTTATGCTCTATCGCAAAACTGAAAAATCTGAAGTTCAACTATGATAACTTGGGAGCCATCTGTGTTTGGCGCAAGTAAACACTTAAATCATAGTTATAAACTTGATTTAGTGTTGCCTTCTCTGTTTCACAAAAACAAGTCTGAAATGCGTTTAATTGAACAAGAAAGAGGTATATCGAGTTCAGCTCTTTATTTAGTATGTTCAATTTTGGAGAATCTTAAACCTAGCCTAATGTTTCTTTCTACCCCCATTCACACCTGCCTCTCATATGCATAAAACTGATACCTAAAGCATTACCTGAGTCAGTGATCAGCTGGGCATAACCATCCCAGTATTTGTATACCGTGAAAAAAAAGACATAGGCAATGTCATGTACCGTAACACATATTCCAGACGGAAAACGTCAATTCCAAAATACCTATGAGCCAATGAGGCAACCAGGGCAGACGCTA